ACTGTGACGTGTGATGGACTTGATCCTTGTTGGGCTGTAGGGACTTCTAAAAGTGCTTACAGTTACTTCCAAACAACGTGAGTCTCATGTTACTTGGTAGGTCTTCCGGCTATGACAACGGAACTCGTTCGAGACCGTGCAATGTGTGATGAAGGTTGCCACTTTGCCATTGTTGTTGTGCTAATGGGTTTCGAATATATTATGTTGATGGGACACAATGTTGATGGGACACTGTTGGCGCAACTACGTGAGTGAATCATGACAACACCAACATCATTGCAGTAGTGAATCACGTGGGGAATAGATTGGTGATCTGGACTGTATGTCAACAGTGGGTGTGTGGGTTTGACGATTCTTGTACCCTTTATATTTCACAGATGCATGGTTGGCCTTCCAACACCGACAGAGGATGTTAGTCAAGAACACGTCCAGCCCATGTTTCTCCGAACGCAGCAGAGGATTCACCGAGACGCATCGCCATTAGTTTTATAGGAAATGGTTTACCTTATAAATTAATATGCCGTATATTTCATGCGTCTGGAAATAGATTCACAGAGGCTTACCTTGGTCCAGCATCTGGCTGAGAGTTATAGTGCTACTTTCCGTTTTTCAGCCTTTGAGTCCATTAGTCAGCCTCAGTTTCGCACTTTTCAGACAATATGTCTGTTTTTCTCAGCTAGCCTACAATTCCCTCATTAAAACAGTGCCACTGTTGTTTTGACCCAAAATACTGTTTCACAGTCAATTCGTGGTTCTCAGAACCACGTAGGAACTGGCGCACCGTGCTACTACCAATATTAATTTAAATATTAGGATGACAAAAGTCAATTCATTTTAACCAATAGTATCAGAGTAAAGTACTACCTTATGATTGGTCTAATGGGTTGTTGAATTATGCAATCTAATTGGTTGATTCAAAATTACTCTTCATTGTTCAAAAGTCAGCGTTTCAGTGAGTGTATTGGATGGTGCGCCTTGCTCGCGCCATGGCGGGTAAGAAGCCTCCGCACCTCGAGGGTTGGCTGGCGCGACTTTCGATTGATGTCATCATGGTGCTTGACTGAAAGATTTGGTTTTTATTCTACTGTAACGTTATGTGGGATGCTCTAGAAAGCGAACTCGCAGTCGTAGCTTACGACGAAAGGTGGGGATTCCGGTATCGTTAAGGTCGAACCCGGGCGTGAGTGCCAGCATCGTATACACACTATATTTAGGAGTACTAAAGTATACTAGTATTGCGCAATTCACGAAACCCATGGAGTCACGAGCTATTACAACGCCGACACCTACAACCACGGAGATGAACTCCGTTCTCTAGACTTCACTTCATGGTGGTGGATGATGCTGGTTGGGTATATGTTAGTATCTAGGGATGAGAACAGGGCATCAACGGAATGTGATTCGCCAATGAAGTGAGTGAAACTACGTGAGGGCTCCCGATGCCCGCAACGTAGCAAGGTTGAGTCAAAGCAACATGGACGTCCACTTCTCTCGATGACGTCACAAACTGCACTTCGACACGTGGAATATTTTTGAGGTCCTCAAGGATTGGTTAAAATATATCCAATCATGAAATACTATCTCCAGATAACAATGAGTTGCACTTGCATATTTTTATAAATAATATTATCCATCACTTTCAGCGTGCATAATTTATTCCTTATACACACGATGCAACGCTGCACCAGTTCCTACGTGGTTCTCTGTACACCTTTTCACCAGTAGCGCTCCATATATTTCCATACAAAAAGGCCGGTTGGTTTAAATTCTATTACTCGATCAATTTTCCACCAATCGAAAATATGAACCGTAACTTCTGTTGGGCTTGTCCAGTTCAATTGTTATTTACGGCTTATTTTCCTAAAAAATTTCAATACAAAGTTGGAATAGCTGTCGAAAGACAAGGCATTTTTTTTACTACGTACCAGTAGTAGTCTTTAGATGACTTGCACCATAAGTACGCAAATGTCATCGGAACAATTTCAGTCCAATAAGCTTCCTCGTGTCCTTTCATTACAAGGCCATGTAGTAGTAGTGTGGGACGTCGGGACAGGGTCATTCATCTCATCAACACCTTCATGGGACTGGTCACCCAGAAATTTGGACGTGTAGCAGCCCTGTGGCGTGTGTGGTAGAGTGCAGTAGAGGGCCTCGAGTCCATTTGTTAATAGCAGTATCTGTTGTCTTGCGCCGGTGTTCACAACCGACGACTACAGTGTTCACAACGGTGACCTCGATGACAAATCCAAAAGTAACTTCATTATCCAGTCCATCAGTCAGTTCCCTCCTATCACTTCACTACTCTCTACCAGTCATGCATCGTACAGTGTACCATCAGCTCGGAACATATGCCGCTGCGATCCAGGTCATATGTCACACTCGTCAAATGTCATTCGTGGCCAACATTCAGCTACCTATAGGAAGGAATTATGTCGTTTGGAACGAGAGAATATAGACTTTGTAGCATTCGGATACACGTGTTCGGAAATCGAAACCCCCTACACGCACTGGGCACCGTACAAAGTGTGTGGCCTTCATGGATGACTACAATCGCTCGATTGAGATGCTTTTGTTGTTGTATGCTGCCCAGAGTACCTCAAGTATGTGTGACGATGTATGCGGTCAGTCGGTGGGTGCTTGTAGGGGGCGATATGTTGACGCATCACCTTGTGCTTCAAACTAAGACGATCTACATCGTCAAATGATAAGTTAGAAATCGATATATATCGTCGTCTCAGAGGGACTTCGTCCCCCTGAATCGATTGCTTCTCACTCGTAGGGCCATCCGTTGCCTTAACGAACACTCTAAAGCTCACCCTAAACAATCAGTATTCGGTGCAAGCCGTGACCTGGAACATGCATCGCAGCGATGAGTTTGATCATAATTCTATGATGACAGCATAGTGCTAATGTGTGTCAGATGTTATCTAAGGGTTTGAATACTTGATGACCATGTTCAATTGTCTCGTGCAGCATGCCAGCAGCTCCTGGCGCCACTACTACTGTACATCAGCAGTGGACTTGCTAAAATGTGCAAGGAATAAGACGCCATGCGTGTTGTGTCTGCCGGTCCTGAACTGGCAGTGACTCCTTTAGAACTCGATGCACCGGGTTCAAAGGTAAAAGAAGACTGTCAATGTTAAATGTCTTAGATCTACTGATTCACAACGCACATTTGCATCCCCTATCGAGCTCTCTTCGGTCGTGTTGACAGATCCTCGACCAATGCGCATGGAGTGTGCTTGATAGGATACTACCTGTCTCTTTCTAAGATACTCCACACCCAACAATGCGTTTGAAGTAACTACGTAAGGTAAGTACATTCTACTCTAGTGCTTTAAGCGAACGATTTGGAATAAACGTATTTCCCAAACACCCGAATTGGACGATCATGGTTAATTTCGGTCATTGTTGGACGATCCTGGGAAATAAATACGGTCAACATCGATCAGGAATTATGATCCATTTTGACTGTGCTTGGCAGTCATCCGGTAAAAGCAAACGAATGATGCAGTGTTTTCGCTCACGTCGTTATCCGAACGGGAACCTCTTGCCGAGGCCAAAACACACCGCTGGTAGTGTGCTGGCAGGAATTAGGGATGGCGCTTCGCGAATGAAATATCACTTACCTCGAAAGAAATGAAATGGATACACAACGACGTGCCCCACGAAGAGCCTGACACCTCGGAACCCCGCCGTTCTGGAACCTACGGTATATAAGTTATGTCGAAGTGCAGTCTTCATTTTCAGGGGTTTGGCGCATCACAAGTGGTTTGCTATCGCTAACCCCGGGCAATGCGCCAAACCCCTCAAGAATATCAGAAGCAGGCATACCTCCGCTAAGGTGCAAAAGGTCACGCCCCACGCAGATGCAGAAAACGTTCAAGGTGCGACGAAATTCCCACATATACCTGGTAACCCACAAGTGGGTCGCGCCGCCCCGAGAAACAACTTTCACAGCTCACAGACACGACCATGCCCCCCCCTCCGCCTGACCCAGGACAACCACCACCCTCAGCTACGTCCGTGCCAACGACCACCCCCATGGTTACAGTCTTCGTCACCCGGAACGGGATACCTACGCCCACCCTTGTACCAGGTACCGGCATAATCGCGCCCCGCTCCCTTCATCCTCCTCGGATCCGGATTCGGACCCTGATACGACCCATCCCCCTGCCACCACACCGCTAACCATACGCCAGCTACGTTCCAAGATAGCTGCAGACAAATTCCTGGCCCGACAGGATCGCATCCGGGCCACTCGTGCTGCCACGCAGCCTCTCACGCACCAAACCCGCCCATCCAGGCTCAACAACACCCACTCGCACCAAACGTCCACTCCAGCCCAATACCTCTCTGAGAATGATAAACTCAACTACACCCACAGCCCAACGGACAAACCCTCGGTACACGATTCGGAACAGCAACCCACCCGACTAGGACCGGCCCTCGACCAGCCAATGGGAACAATGGGCCAGGCCACGTACCGGGCCACCTCACCCACCAGCTCAGTTATCCACCTATCTACCAAACTCCCACACTCCGAAGTCGATCCAGACCTGGACCTAGCCCACCCTTCTTTCACGCTACCACCATCCAAACGCTACCACACTATGCTCTACCCGCCTACCCCGTCCTACCAGCCAGGTCCACTTAACCCTGCACAGCCCCCGCAGGACTCCACCGACCCACCCTCCCACGAGGAAGAACTGGACGAATATGATGCCAACTCTGCCCTCCAATTTCCAGGTCAACGCAACCTCTGCGATGAAGGACAACTGATCCTATACCGCACAATGACCATGTACTGCTGGGAACGCGAAGCACACCTCATCCAAGGATTTACTCCAGCGGAGATTGAGGATATCGAACAACACTTCTCCGAGACCATGGTTCGGATCCAGTTCACTATCAACCCGTCGCTCCAGCAGCCGGACAACCAACTCAGCATCGTCAACTTTCGGAAAGAAATCGAGACAATCTGCGAGGAACGTTTCGGGCTCACCTTCCACGGCGGACTCAGTGAACACGGGCAGCAGCTCCTGGGAACCCCCATTCAACGCACCGCCCTAGCCTGGGCAGCCCCACGACGTGGATACATATTCCTCCGGGACATCTCCGTCGTAATGCTATACCAGTATGCTGGAGTCCTCAGCAACGGGCTATCCTACCACCAGCTGGAATACCGCAACCGGTCTAAACTTGCTCCTGCTGACATACTGTGTGCCCTCCGCGCCCTTGGGGCCACGGATGCCATCATCCAGAGCTACTCACGTATGTCCGGAGCCCACGGGCCGCGGGACCATTGGGCGGCCATTGGGTGTGTTAACTGGCCCACCGAGGGCAACCACCGCTTCCGACTTGTCTTCCCCAGCCAAACCATGGCCGAAACTGTCTATGCCAACTACCGCCTGCATGCTGCTGGAACAAACCGCCTGGACCAGGTTCCTCCCTCCATGAAGCTACACCCACTGCGTGACCTCAGCTGGGACAACCCCTCCTCCACGTTCTGCCACCCCTTATCCCTCAGTGCAACCAAACTCGTCGCCACCAAAGTTCGCATCGGCCCTCTCCCTACACTTACCACGCCTGCGGACATCCTGGAGGCACTACATGGCTCCCAGCTCCCCTCCCCTGATGTGGACATTATCGACGACTATGCAACCATCACTTTTGACTCCCCATGCCCGGCAGCCTTCCTATGGAACGCCTCAGGCCCACATGGGACCACCCGCCTCTACGTACGTAATATAGCTGTCCAGCTCCACGTACTCATGGGCCGCCCACGTACCACGGCGGTGGCAATGCAATGTTCCGACTGTGGCCGCCTGGACCACCAGAGCAAACCTTGCGATCGCTTTACCTACCTTGACCCCCGCGACCGTACACGCAGCGCATCGCGACATAACTCCACTACCCGAGCACCAAGAGTCCGGGAGCACGTTCACGCAGTAAAAGTTTGCACACTCGAGCAGGCCGCTCGGTCTCTCAACACTCCACCACGGTCAGCCACACACCCCAATCCTGGCAATACCCCCCTCAACAACAACCGTTGCACACATCAGGCCAGACCACGGACCTCGTCCCATACCTCCGTCGGGAACTCTCCACATATGTGGACCACCGTATCGTCCAGGCCACAGGCCCACTCCAGCAGGAAGTCGATACACTCCGAGCGGATAAGGAGGCCTTCACAGCCTTAGCCTCTGCCACCAGTGCAGCCTGCACCACCCTCGATGTGCGACTAATCGAAGAACGCCGCCTCCGTGAGGCTGCTGAACACCAACAATCCCAGGACCAACGCAAATTGACGGAGGCGCAAAATCGCCTGCAAACCACCATCACACAACAGGGCACCCACCAAGCAGCAATGGCCGAACGCCTCCCATCATCGAATCCAGTCTGCGCACCCTAATGCAAGCCATGCAAAGTGTCTCCTCCCAACTTGCTGGCCTCACCGCCCTCGGCACCCCTGCGACCGGACTGCAAGCCGCGTACCCCACCCAGACTACGCTGACGCCCTCTCCCCCAGCACCCGATGATTCCGTTCCATTGAACCAGCCAACCGGACCCGATGACTCCATGGGGACAGACCCAAACGACACCATGGGGTCAAACTAACCCCGGGGTGTCGGGTCAGACCACCGACACCCCGGCACCGCCCCTGGTTTGTATTATGGTGGTTCCTGAGCTTCCTGCTCTGGTCCACGTACTCCATCCCCATGGTCGCTGCCACCCACCCGGACCCCCCACTTCTCCCCTGGACTCCACAACCGGCACACTATGAGCACCCCCTCCTTTCTACATATCATATCGACCACCTACGTGACCCGCCCTCTTCGGATGACTCCAACAACTCCGAACACCTCGACCACCGCATAGCGGACGACCTCCACCAGACCACCCCAAACGTCCCCCCCACTACCACTACCGAACCCAGACAGCGCCGCCGCCGCCGCTCCTGGCGGATCCAGCGCCTCCCTCTTCCCACGCCAGACATGAACACGGCACGCATCCAACTGGACAACGTCCTCCGCCGGGAAACCCTCGAGAGTGAGGCCTACATTGGCGACGTAGGTACACCCCCGACTCCCGACCCGCGGGTAGATAGCCTGCGTATTGCCACGACCAAAATCAATAAAAACACGTGCGGTAAATTGAGAGCCGAACTGGCCACATGGTTCCGCGCCAACGAGCTTGACGTCCTCATCATTGCTGACGCTGATCTGCCGGCACACAAGGCCACACAACTGTGGACGCCATCACCCGGAGGTGCGCATACATCAAGCCTCATGGCCATCAGCAACCACCGAGTGAGAGTCTACTCTATGAAATACAACGCTGGCACTCCCGCATCGACGCCCGCTCCACCACATACTCCACATCAGGACGTAGTCTAGCTATCACTATCCGCCTTGGGAAAGGCACTCTAGTTACACTACTCGGCACGTATTGTCAAGACAATCCCGCAGCCCACAAGGAGGACACGGACCGTGAATGGCAATGGCTAGCACAGGCAGCTAGCTACCCGCGTCACTGGTCCACATCACTATGTGATCATGGGAGGTGACTTCAACACCTATGGGCCCAACCCCCTCGACCGGTCAGCCCCAACGCTACGCACTGGCGCCAACTATGATATCGGCATTG